GAGGATGGAGTCAGGTTCACTCGCTCAAACCTGACGGCCATAAAATTCTATGAGGGCTTCAGTCAATCGAGTCATCCATAGGGCTCATCTCCTCGAAGAACAGATGTTCTGATGCAAGTAAAAGCTAGGGTTCCCATACCTTAAAGACACACGCACACTCAAACATACAGGTGTGAGCACAGCTCAGCCAGTGATGACTCACTTAATAAATGTTAAGTGAGCACCTAAGATGGTCCAGGCCCATTGCCTGTGGGTTATAAATGGACCAAGTGGTTTACAAGATGATGCTGCAGAAAAGAGCCAAAAGCGCAGAGGAGAGGTGCTGTCCCCTGGGCTCCAAAATCCAGGTGTATTTCTTTACTGCCTGCTTAGCCCACTGCTCAAGGTTTCACAAATATGAGCCATATCAGGCCCTGCGCTAGCTCCCAGGCAAGGAGAGGTCCATGGGGCAGGGCCCTTGTCCTCACAGAGTCACTGTCTAGCCAGGGGATGGGAAGGGACAGGCTGCAAAACTGTAACTGGTGGCAGGCCCACAATTAACTACTTTTTTATCTCCTGCTCCCATCTGAGTTTATTCCATGTCCTCTCCATCAACGGGAACAAAATGATTCTGGAGTCAGCAAGAGCAGAAAACATTTAGATGAATTTGATGCTGGGGTTAAGTCCTGCTCTTTCGGATTCTCAGTTGTGAGTGGCCTGAGGCTTGCAGGTCCCCCAGCTACAGACCCCCAGATGGGATGGAGATTAAGGTGGGAGAGAAAGATATGGTCTCTGCTCTTCAAATTCTCTCTCCTGTAAAGTCCGTAAGCGTTTCATGATGGAGGGATGGTTCGAGATGGATAACGGATGTGAACTGAGCTGACCATCGTTTCTCACTCCTGACATCTGTTCACAGCAGCCTCGGATCAAGTTTAGGCTTTAGCTTCACCTGGGAGTAAAAATATCCATCAAGATGGTGTGTCCCAAATTCAATATCTCTGAGCTAAATTCTAAGTATTTCCAAACATTAGGGATTAGGAAAGGAGGCAAGACATCTCGGCCCTTGTCTAGTGGCCCAGAAATCCGCCTGCGATGGCAGGATATCCCGTCCCTTCATCTCAGGAGAGGGGGCCAGGCCCCTCCAGCGGTGAGACATCATCCACACGCTTAGGTCTTTCTCCCCTATTCCTCCCCTACCGTCTCCATTTCATCCCCCAAACATAAACAGGCTGATGAAGTCCCTTCAAACTGTGGCCTAAGAATGGAAATGAAGCGAAATCGCAAAATAGTACCTGAACGGCCGGTAAAGCTCTCAACTCTGCGTGTAGGACACGAGCCCCAGCCTGAACCAATATGCTTTTAATGACTTAATGGTAAATGCTGAACAAATTAGTGTTCCCTTAAGGTTGTCCTCGGGCACACGGAGTCACAGTCTTTAATTTTAATGAGCTTCTATTACACAATCTCTTATTGCCTCTTAACTGCCAGTGAAATGACCACCAGCTAAATGTACAGCAAAATAGCTCAGGTGGACCCCAAAGAAATTACCTTGAAATTATTACACTCAACCGTGGCCAATGCACCAGGCTTCATTTGAAGAGAGGCGGCCAGCAACACAAGTGAACCGATATCAGGGGACGGGTCCTGAGGCTTTTCAGGTGGTGCTTTTCTTGCCTTATCTGACTTAATGTATTTTCCTTTTTAAATGTAAGTATTTAAAATGCAGCTGGTCCTCTCCCTTCCCGAGGTGAGACGGCTGGGCTGGTTCAGGGGACCGTCACGTGCAGCTTACCAGTTTGTCTTTGCAGCCAGATATGGCTGGGTTAGAATGCCAACTCTGCCACTTACTTTCTTTCTGATTTTGGACCCTTTCTGTAATATGGAAACAGAGAACACCTATTCAATATCTATTAAATAAGATGTGATAAGTCTAGCATAAGCCTTGCACACAGTAGGTGCTCAATATTTGCTTCCTCCTTTTCCTGGTGCAGCCGTCTGGGTCCTGTCAGGAGATAGAAACCACACAGTAGGTTAAATATGGGGTGTTTGATATAAGAATAAACTATGATACAGGGAACTCTAAGATTTAAGGAAAACCCTCTAGAGTTTCCTAGAGCCAGCCTGGGCTGAGGGAGGGTACCCACAGGAGGACAGACGTGGAGGGTTTCAGAGCTCGTTGGAGAAGGTGTGGTTGCTCAGCTCCAGACAGCACAGAAGTTCACAGGTTGGCCAGGCTGGAGCTGGTCTGGAGGTGCAGGGCAGGCAGCAGGCCACCCTGTGGCGTGCAGGTGGGAGGGCAGGGGACAGGTACTCAGTGGCCGGCGATGGGCGTGTGCCGCGGGGGGCAGGAGGCCTTTGGAGCTCTCAGGCCACCCACGGGCTGCACAGGGGCTATAGTTTTCCACGTCAAGGGGGCTTGTCACCAAGCAAGCCCACCAGTCAGAGGGGTCACACTCTGGGCCTGTGGCTCAGGCAGACTCCACTTCATGAATGAATTATGACTCAGGATATTTACAGATAAACCAAAACCAGGCAGGAGCACTGATAGGTTAGATGACAGAATGAAGATTCAAAACTTTGGCTTCAAAACAAAATAAATAAAATTTAACATAAATAAATGTAAATTTTCCTTTTGGGTTCAAGCCATCAACTGCATGTATTATATGGGAATGGAAAGAGCTGAAAGTAACCTACGGGGACAAACTCGGAATTTCATTTTGCTGCGAGCTCAGTACAAATAATATAAGATGGCTGCTGAAGAGCCAGGTCTGTCTGGTCTGGACCCGTAGAAAGGGCTCGGAGGAAGGAAGCTGTTTCCACTGCGCGGGCCAGGCCACCCCCGAGGACTGGTCTTACTCTGTGCCCACTGCTTGAAGAGTTGTATTAGTGAATGTCAGCACATTTTTATTGAGGACCTACCACGTGCTCTGCACTGTACTGGGCCCGAAGACACAAGAAATCTAAAAGTCTAAATGTAGAAATTTGATATTTTTTAAAGATTGTCTTCTATAAATCCATAAAATGAAATACCGGTCATTCATTACAAATGACGATTTAGTTGTATATTCACTGACACAGAAAGAGTTTCATAATACTCTTTCTCACAATGCAAATACATAATTGTTAAGTAATGAAAAGTAAATGCAAAACCATATGGGTGGTTGGGTTCCTTTCCATTTTTGAAAAAAATCAAAAGAATGTAACATTAGTTATCACCAGGTGGTTTTTTTCTGCCACTCTCTATTGTTCTTTTCTCTGTAATGAACATGTATCGTGTGTATCATTTTTAAGTTCTTTAACAAGACAGATTAAAGCATAGGCAGGGTTTAGGGGCAGGTCATCGCCGGAAAGCATTGCAGGCTAGCCTGTTAGTTACAATGGCGTTTTGCGCGTAGCCTTTTGACAACAGGTAACAGGTGGATGGAGGGACGGCAGCAGTGACCCATATAAGCCACTAGATGGCGCCAGAGCAGCTAGATAATATTTGGTCTCAGAAACTGAGTCGCCTTTGCTTCAGAGAAACAACTTTATGATTTAAAATATTTAAGATTCTCCAGCTGGAATAAGTTTTGTTAACGATACATCGAAATTATAGAAAGCTTTTCAAAATTATAGTCGAACATGCCAATGATTGCTTTAATAGTGTTGTCGAACTTCTGTTACAACGCTACCAGATACTCACCCTTGCACAAAAACTTACAATACCGGTTCTGCAGGCCCAAACTCCCCAAATTCCTGAGATGTGATGACTCGCTGGCTCTTAACCCTGACTATTCGAGGACCTCTAGGTTTCTAGGAAGCAGTTTCAAGCTTCAGGCGTAGGTAGTCATTCCTGAAAGCAGCTGTTCTCAACGCGGCCCGTGAGATTGGCGCCCCGCCGGGTCCTCCCCGCCGGCCGCCTGCAGCTCCGCGCACCTGGGCCGCGTGAGCAGCGAGGACCGGAGCGGACCTCGGTCCTGGAGTCTGCGCTGCGGTCCGCGGCAAGCTGCCTCCTGTGCGCGGCTCCCATCGGCACGCCCGCGGCCGGACAGCGACTCCCCGTTTTCGTCTGACCGCGCCTTTTCTCGTGCTTAGCTTAGCAGGTGTTAACGAAAACGAAAGGTTACAAAGAGCTTTTTCACAGGCGGACACAGAAAAGCGCAGAAAGCTCTCGGAGCTCCTAGTTAGGGACACGCAACTAGACCATATCGGTTTTAAAAAGACAGCGAAGGCAGAGAAAGCCACATAGGGGCTCCAAAGACAAGAGAAGTGCTGTGATTCTGGGACCCCACCGTCTGCCCTTTGTCCAAGGGAAATGTCATCTGAAATGTGTCTTGTGCTGACAGCCGTTATCTGTAAGCTCTTTCCTTCTGCTTCATTTTTCCCTCCCTCTGCTGCCAACTCACCCCCACTCTCAAAGGACAGCTCTGCTGGAGCAAATGGGTCTTTGTCCCCATCAGGCGCTAATGTCCCTGCCCTGTGGCAGAAAGGAGAAATCACCCTCATTATGATAAGTGAGGAAAACTGTGTATATTACCCAGCTTGAATCTCAGCATCTGAATAGATAGACAGGTAGGTATTGTGCAGATCAATATTTATTGCTCTGTAAGCTGATAGTACCAAAAGGTGAAGAAAACAGGACAGTAAGAGGATCCTGAAGAAAATTCATTGCTATGGGTGTAGCATTTTCTGTCTCAGAGGTCGACACTGGAGATCGGATCCAGCAGATTTTACTCTATTAAAATGAGCAAGGATCTTCATCCAGCAGGTAAATTATCCCCAGAAAATGTGCCTAAGCTGGAGATCAATTCATTTGGGCCTTCACTTAGCGAGCTCAAATCGTTTTCAAATAATCCCGGCGAGGAGTAGATGAACATCCCGTTTTCTCAGGCTGGTATTTCAGAGACAGCGCTGTGGCAATAAGATAATGCGAGATATCCGGAAACCAGGGTTCAAAGAGCGACGTCACCCCCCGGGAAGATTTGATTCCAGTGCAGGAGAGCGACGTTCTTCTAACAGTGTCTCTTCTTTTCTTCCTGCAGCTTGACCATTATCCTTCTGTGAGTTACCATCTGCCAAGTTCATCTGACACGCTGTTCAATTCTCCCAAGTCGCTCTTTCTGGGAAAAGTTATAGGTAAGAGTTTGGGGTAAATTGCTCACGTAATATATTCTAAAGCTACTAATTTGCCTTTGAAATACATTGTGATTTGTGCTTGGGGTTCTAAGTCAGTGATGATACTGGAACCAACATTGTTTGGTGTGTGACATAAACTAAAACGTAAGTGAAGCTGAGTGTCTGCTCCCGGCTTCTTTATGTAAAATTTGTTCGTTGGTTTATTAAAGACCTCTACCTACTAACAATATTTAACTTTACTTTTTTTTATTCTAAGCATATCAACATGATTCTCTCCTCTTCTCACTCTTGAGAAAGCTACCTGGTACTATTTGCAAATTAGAAAGCCAATAGGAATTGGAAAATTATAACAGAATATCCTCCCCTGTGTGTGATTGTGAATTTAACAGTCAACCCTGGCCCTTTACTATAAATCAGTGCTGTTAAGATTAAAATATAGATATGCTTGGTTAAATATTTTTAAATGATTAATATAAAGCCAATGAATTTTTTTTCTATGAGAACATACATTGTGAACCCAAAATGGAAACAGTAAGATGGTGGATAATGTGCAGGCCAAGGAGGAGGTGACTCTGTGTCCAGTGGATAACAGTGATCAGAATGGTATTAATCCTGAAAAGCACTCACTTAAAAAGATGGGGGCAAATAATGGGGAGAACAGGATACCCACCTATAATAAAAACAATAATATCCGCTTAGGTAGGACATCTGCAGGCCAAGCTCTGTTTGAAGCACTTGAGATACATGAACTCATTTAACCTTCATAGCAATTGCATGAGATAATTAAGATTATTATGCGAGAGAATGCAAGATTACTGTCTCCATTTTACAGTTGAGAAAACTGGGGTACAGAAAGGTTAAACAACCTCGCCAAAACCACCTACTTAATAAGTGGTGGAACCATAACTTGAACCCCAGCAGTCAGACACCTCCCTCTCTGCTCCTAACTACGGTGCTGAACTCTCTGTGCTGACTGACTTAGAAATGAAAGGAGAAAGACAGAAGAAGATTTTGGCAGCAGAGGTTGACCAGTTGAGGGATGAGTCCTACATCTCATGCCAGAAAGTGGCCAAGAGCAAAAAGTATTCCTGGACTTAGAACCAGGACCACGCCAGGCAAGACAGCAGGCAAGCAGAGTTGTATGTAAGGCCGCCAGAGGGAAAGACCACATCCTCAGTGAAAAGACAGGAAGGGGTGGACACAGCTCAGTCAGTGGGTGGAAGTGGAAAAGAAATGGGGACCAAAATTCATTGACCACCCATGTGTAGTAGGCATTGTGCTAAACATTTTACATGTGTAAATGTGACAACTAAATGTTACAACAACCCAGTGAAGCAAGACCTGTGATTATTATCCTCATTTTACAGAGGAGGAAACTGAAGCTGAGGGAGTCAATTTGTAGAAGTTGTTTAACTAGTGTGTGGCAAAGCAGAGTTTCGAAGGCAGGTCTCTCTGACGAGAGTCCAGGTCCTAAGTAGATCAAAAGGACCTGTCCAGAAGGATGCAAATGGAAATCGAGTGATGCCATTAATTAGCAACCAGAAATGGCTGTTCAGTGGAATAGAGCGTTGGCATTCATAAGGCAGATATCCTGAGACATTGGTGATGCCCAATACCACCAGAGGCATTCCTACAATTCAGTCAAGAATAATCGAAAATTTTAAGTGCTCCTTCATGGCTGAAATGATTCCATCCAAACAAACTTTACACTATGACACTGTGATATTCCTAAAGACACTACTCTCTGATATTCCTAAAGCAACATCCACCATGAACATACCTGAAACAATGGGCCTCGTTACTCCATAAACCTCACAAACTCAAGTTTTGACAGGAATGGTGGGTGATTGCTGCTTTCCCTCATGATAAGTAACTCTCTCTGGCTCATTAGGGTTTCAGGTCACGTGATTCAGTTCTCACTTTGGTAAACTTACAATATACAGTGTGGCAGGGACCTTCAAGGTCAGGAACAAATAACATCGTAAAGGCAACATCCTCTGTAACTAGGAATCTACTGTGCTGTCAATCTGTGCCAAGCTAAAAGCATGACGCAAACCTCAGATGTGCGAGGGTTATACCCAGAGTTTTGTGTACATTACATCACAGGAAATTGTGCTGTGCACATAAACTTACTGTGTGTGGCAATAAGTTATGAGAAGAACACATAAATACCTATAAGGAAGTCACAATCCCGAGATGGACATGGTGTCATATGCATGAGAGTAGGTTGGGCTCCCGCGACGGGTCCCCAGTGCACTGACTTCCAGCAGAGACTGACGCTCCGCACCAGCCCGTGAGCTCCCTGCAGACCAAGGCAGCGTCTCTTAGTTCCACTGTATCCTCACAAGGAGCGAGTGCTCAATAAATATTTGTTGAATTAATAAAGAACAAAAGGAAAAAGAAACGAAAAGAATATCCTCCTAGAAGTATACTGCCCAGTGGGAGGGCATGGATGCTGCTGCTGATACGATCAATGAAGTTAGCACAGAGGCAGGGTCTGTAGTTCTCACACACCTTGCAATCCGGTTTTTCTAACAGCAGGTGTCTGATAATAATAGAGGAGAAAGAATGTAGGCTTTGGAATCAGGCAGAGCTGGTATCTTAGACAGCTCGGACTGCTGTAACAGAAGACCACACAAACAACAGAAACTTGAGGCCAGCCCGGTGGTGTAGTGGTTAAGTTTGCACGCTCTGCTTCAGCAGCCCAGCATCGCAGATTCGGATCTGGGAGTGAACATGTACACCACTGGTCAAGCCGTGCTGTGGCAATGTCCCATATGCAAAGTAGCGGAAGATTGGCACAGATGTTAGTTGAGGGCCATCTTCTTCACACACACACAAAAACGTGTTCCAGTCTTGTGGGTGTCGTAAAAGAAAAGCAAAAAAAAAAAAACAAAACGGAAATTGGAGCTGGTCCCGTGGCCAAGTGGTTAAGTTCACACGCTCTGCTGCAGCGGCCCAGGGTTTCACCAGTTCGAATCCTGGGCGTGGACATGGCACCACTCATCAGGCCATGCTGAGGTGGCATCCCACATGCCACAACTAGAAGGACCCGCAACTAAAAAAGTACACAACTATATACCGGGGGACTTTGGGAGAAAAAGGAAAAAGAAAATATTTTTTAAAAAATGTTACAAAGAGTAGAATTAAAAAAAAAACAAAACAGAAATTTATTTCTCACGGTTCTGGAGCTGGGAAATCTGAGATCCAGGTGCCAGCAGATCTGGTGTCTGCTAGGGGCTCTCTTCCTAGTTTGCAGACAGCTGTCTTCTCACTGTATCCTCACACGGCAGAGCAAGGAAGCAAGCTCTCTTGTATCTCTGCTGATAAGGCACTAATCTCATTCCTGAGGGCTTCACCCAAAGTCCCCGCCTCCTAATGCCATCCCATTGGGGGTTAGGATTTCCACATATGACTTTGGGGGACGCAAACATTCCGTCCAAAGCAGCTGGTTACATTTGAATCCAGGCTCTGCCTCTCATGAGCACTGAAACTTTGGGCACAATACTTGAACCTCCCAAGGCCTGGCTTCTCTCGGTTACAAAATGGGGACACAAATGCCTACTTGCAGGCTATCGTCTCCCTGAGGGAGGAATATGCTGTCTTTTATTTTTTTTTTACACCAATCTATTTGCAGCTGCCAGATCAGTGCCTAGCATGTAGAGCGTACTCAAAAAATATTTGCGGAATACATGAAGTACTCTTTTAGTATTAAGCTAATAACATCTTAGGAAGCATCCAGCACAATGCCTGATACATAAATAAAGAAAACTATTACCAGGTTTTGATGCTGGCTCCATATCCGTCATTGTGGTATCTGTTTTAAGTGCAGTGCTCTCTGTAATCCTCCCGACATCGCCCCAGACCACTGTCACCCTCATCGTGTGGAATAGGGAACCAAAGCTCAGAAAGCTTTTCTCAAAGCAGGTTTCCCAACAGCAGCACTGTTGCCATTTGGGGACAGATAATTCCTTGTTGTGGGGGCTTCCTGTGCATTGTAGGATGTTTAGCAGCATCCGTGGCCTCTACCCACTAGGTACAAGCAGCACCCCCCAGCTGTGATCATCAAAAATGTCTCCAGACATTGCCAGATGTTCCCCAGGAGGGCAAAGTCACCACCAGTTGAGAACCACCAGCTTAACGTCCCCCAGCCAGTCTTTGGTGGAGCTGGGATTTGAAACGAGTGATGTGTGGCACCAAGAGCTAGGCATGGCTTCCTGATAACACCTGCCTCTCTCAGAATGGGGAAGCAAGAAGGATTGATACCCTGAGGATAAATTCTGTTAATACGATCAAGGAGCTACCGTGAGAATCAAAAAAGACATGGGGGTGGCCTGGGGAGGCTAATCATTGGCCACCTCTTCAAGCCAATATTCTTTAAATATTTGTTCTTTCAGTAGGGGCAGGATTGGTGAGAAGCATTTTTAAATTTCCCTTTGAAAGGGACGTATACTTTAGCGAGAAACAACCAATATGCATTCGCCAGCTAGGTAAATATTCATCTGTGAAGACGGATTGAACTTCAGATATCTCATGTACACTAGTGAGTTTGTGACACCCCCTGGGGATCAATGCCCCCAAGTTGCTGCATAGCTGGGTCAGCTGCTAATCAGAAACTGAGCCCATAGAAGAACAAAAAGGAGATGGATCTAAATAAATAATATGACTCCACATGGAGCTCTGTGATGAGCACTGCTTGAAAAAGGACACATAAAAAGGATGGAAGAAGGGGAACCCAGTCAAGGAGTCTCATCGTTCTAAAGGGAACGGAGGAAATTTATCCTAGAAATAAAAGTGTGATCACTGTCAACCAACATCAGAATTTTAGAATGAGTTGTTACATTTCTGAGTCCTTCAAGAAGGAAGTCAGGATCGCTAGCAACGAGCAAAGCTTCACAAAGTATGAATTTCAGCAGACCTGGTTATGTCCATTTTTCATCATTTACTGGCTGACTTTCATCGCAGACTTTATGTATCTGATTTTCAGCAACAGATTTAAT